GTTATGGATTATATTGCCAAGGAGGTCCAGAGCCCCCTGCATTGAGAGGCCGTTTTCTTCCATCGCAATGAAGACCGGGAGATTCCGATCGCCATAAGCCTGCTCCTTATTGAAGGAATACAGGTCCTATACTCTTATTCAGCACCGTTTCAATGTGCCACACATACAACTCACGTTTGACAAAGCAATCAAATCCACGGCTGCATCCTCCAGGCTCTTGATAAAGGGATGGTAGAACCAAACACGTATTCGATAATCGCAAAACAAGGTCTGACACCGCCATCATCGCGACGGTGAAGAATATATTCTTCCATCTTGGAGATCGGCCCCTTGGCCCGATAGGCGCATTGACTGGAAGTGCCCAAGAGGTATTCGTCAACGCCTCGAACAAACCGTGCTCTGACACCAGGGCCGCAGTTGGGGAGCATACGTGCCCAAAGGCTGGATAATCGAGTGAGTTCGGTTTTTGATCCTCGAGGTATGGACGCGGGAGGAGGATGTAGCAGTCACAAGAGACTGCATCTTCCGCGGGTGCGCGGATGGGAGCTTGTCCACGGTGGGACGTTTGCCGAGGGCGATGGCAGAGACCTTTGCGACAGGAGGAACCCTCGCGACAGTGAAGACCTTCGCAACAGCAGAGGTCGCCGAGGCAGGCACTGGGGCCTCCTCGATAGGGCCGACGTCCATCGGGACGTCATATAAGTCATCCGCCTCGTGAGAGGCAGAAGGAAGAGCCACCTTGCGAGCGGCGGAAGGGAGAGGAGCACGGGGAGGGAGAGGGGGAGGGGCGCTGTTGAAAGTGGACAGCTTGCCCTTCAGTCTATCGTTCTCAGAACGATGTTCATCGCATTCGATGCGATAACGAGAGACGTCTTTCTTCAGACGACCGATCTCGTCAGTGAGAGCGTCGCTCTCATCCCGATGATGGGAACCCTGGATCTCCGCGTCTCTCTGAGCATGGAGGAGCATATCATGTGTGTTCGAGAGTAACCGCTGGGCATGGTCCATCCTGGATGACATGCGAGCGTTCTCATCGAGAGAACGAGTGAGATTTTCGTTGCTCGGGGAGTCCTCCAGACGAGCAATGCGTGATTCGAAGTCACGCTTGCGATTATGAATCTCATCTGCGTGTTCCTCATGCTCGCCCCAAAGGCGATTGAGCTCCTGCTCCACGTCTCGTAACTTGACACAATTGTATACCAGGTTGTCAGCGAGCTGTTCTCGGCCACAAATGGCCAATTCCGAGTTCTGCGTCGGATGGAGTGCGAGCCAAGGGTATGGCTCCCAGCTTTCCGTGCACGAGTCGCAGTAACGTGTGTCGCTCGACCCGCGAGCGAAATCCGGAGTGGGGAGACGCGAGTACTCGTCCCCGGACCCCCAGGGAGAGATGTCACCGTAATGGTCAATAGAAGAACCGTAATGCTCACCCTGATGGGTGCGATGTTGATAGCTGCCGGAGGCAGCATTGTCATTATGGGCCCCGTCCCAAGGAAGGGGAGCAGGAGGCCCTGGGGCAGCCGAGACGGCTGCTGGGGCGCCAGAGCCCTCACCCTGTGTGGGGGCAGAGGATGGCGCGTTGGTCGCATGAACGACCAATGGAAGGAGAGTGTCACAGATGCTAAGAGGAGGGGCAGGGGCCGACGCGACCGTCTGGACCACTGCAGCGGGTACGGGGAGTACCGCAGGCGCGAGTTCTGCCATAGGCAGAGTGGTGGGGGGAGGGATGGACGGAAGGGCTTCCGTCATTTCCTCATCGTCCGCAGGAGGGATGAAGACTTCATCCAGGTTGGACGCCATAATAGCTTCGAGCAAAGCTAATGCACTAGATAGTGCGAGAGACGAGGTGCTTGATGAGCATGAAGGAGAGCGCAGAGATATGCGTTTAAACCACTCGGGGGAGTGGGGAAGGTGGTGGTAAGAGGAAGAGGAGCAAATTCTCCTCAGCGGCCTTTGCGCCGCCCAAAATTTGTGGAATTGCTTCCACTGATGCTCTGTTGCCGGGATTGCAGAAAAGGAAGGCCACGGGCCTTTCATTGTCAGAGCACGTGGTCTGACAATGAGTCAGGGCCTTAGGGCTACCTGTTTAGGGAGGTCCTCAGGCGTCGTCACACCGTGAAGTTCAAGGTATTCATCCAATTGGGTGAGACGATCTGCCTTTTGGGCAGACTCCCAAGATTGGTCACCATTGGACCAAACAAAATGAAATTCTAATTTTCATTGTTGCCAATGATGATTGTCAATCAGCTCAACAAACTGCTCTCTGTCCGGAGCATCACCAAATATGGTGTCCAGATCTCTTCCTGGGAAGAGTCAATCATCTCCACGGACATAAGGCCATAACAGGCTAGTGTGGAATACAGGATGTATTCCACATCTTTGCATGCTCTCTGAGAGAGCTAGCAGACAATTATCCATGTCTGTAACTTTCTCAATGAGAAAGGGCCCCACAAATCAGGGCATAAGCTTAACTGCTGATTCTTGGGAATCACCAAGTTATGAGTAGAAAGGAAGACTAAGTCTCCTTTCTCATATACAGGCAAAGCCTGTCTATACTTCTTTGCATGGAAAGCCTGGTCAACATGGGCTTCTATTATTGTGTCTGTCACAATACGGACCATGTATTGTGCCTCATGCATGAATTGGTCCACACCTTGATACTCCGATTCGGAGTGTTTGACCAGGCATGTCAATGACAGAAGAAGTCCGTAATTCAGTTTGAACAGACTGAAGCCTGTGCTAGCCAAAACGCTAGCATTAATTGCATATTCTACCATAGGTAGATGTGAGCACCAGTCTGACTGGTCATCTGCCACTGTTATGCACAGCATTTGACTTACTGAGCATATCATATGCTCAGTCATTCCATCCATTTGTGGGTGGAACACAGTCAACATCAATAATGTTGTGCCCATCTGCTTATGCAGTGCCTGCCAAAACATGGCAGTAAATTTCGAGTCTCTGTCCAAGACTATGCTGGCCAGAAGGCTGTGCAAACATACGACCTCTTGCATGAATATGAGGGCAACATCTGCAGAAGATGATGTCATAAGGAGTGGTACTAAGTGTACCATAGCTGTAAGGTGACAAATGATTACTAAGAGGTAATCATATCCTTTGGACAGAGGGAGAGGACCCATAAAGTCCATGGTGATGGAGCTCCAAGGAGCTCCAGGGATTTCAAGCAAATGGCAAAGTCTGCTAGGCTTCTCCATGCTGTCTTTTGCCATCTGGCAATGCAGACATGATTTGCAAAGATGCTTTGCATCTTTACCCATGCTATACCACCAGAATTGGTGTTTTAGGAAGGCAACTATCTTCCTATCACCATAATGGCCAACACTAACATGAGCATTAGCCAAAATGAGCAACCATATTGCTTGCCCTTTGTATTGCCTGGTGGGCACATACAAAGCAACACCACCCTGATGGTGTCAAATGAACAGAAGCTCATTTTCAATGAACCACATCTTTGAACCTGGCAAAGTTGCCAATGTCTTCTGGTAGAAGGCATCCACTTGATAAGTGTGTTTGATTGCTCATAACAGAGCAAGGTGTCCATGTGGCTGGAACTGTAATAGTTTGTCACTGCATTTGGAAGACCCAACACTGGGTAGCATTGTTACTTCCCCTGCAGGGGCAAGCGCTAGAGAGTCAGGCTCCACCTGAATAATCTCTGTGCCAGCTCCCACAGCAGTAGTAGCAGATGCTACCATGTCAGCGTGGTCAGTATAACCACCATTGAGTTCAGCACTCTGCTCAACTTGCTGTTTGACTCATCCACAAGGGTGATGAGGTACTTTTGCCTTGTGAGCAGGCAATGGAGTATTGGGTACTACCCATTCTCATGGGGGCACTTTTGTGCCTTTGAAGCGAGTTGTCATCTGATGAACAGCAACTTCTGTTTGCAACTTGGCAACTCAAGTATTGGAAAGAGTATTGTACTCTTTGTCCACTAGCACATTGGCTAGTACCGGCTCAGATGAGCTCACTGAGCATGACATCCAGTCCACTATCTTGTTCCTCTCTCCAGGAACATACAATATCTTTATGGTATTGAATCACTGCAAGTATTCCTGCTGGCAAATTACTCTGTCCCCAGCCAGGGTTGCCTTTGATTGAAGGTATTGCAATGGTGCATGATCTGTGCATATTGTGATAGGGATACCTATCAATTGGCTCTCCCACTTGGTGAGAGCCTCCACCACAGCCAGAAGCTCATGCTTGTATGTTGAGTATGACATCTGGGCATCTGTAAATCACCTGGAATGAAATCCAGCCAGGTGGACCTTGTTCCACAATGGCCCTTGGCCATAATAACAACCTACCCCACTGGTAGATGTGTCACATATGATGAAGACTGGAATCCCATTCTTGGGAACAATGGGCTTCAGGACTGGGTAGTCCATTGCTAGGGCAATTATGCTCTTGAAGCACTTTTCATGCATAGGAGTGACATTGCAGCTCCTATTAGAGTGTGTCAATGCTGACAACAGGCCAGTATATCTGGCTACGTCTGGCAAATAAGGTGCCAGATATGTTACCATACCAAGGAAGCATTGCATTCCTTTGGCATCCATGGGAAACTTAGCGTTCCTAATCATGGACATCTTATCATTGTCTGTGTACACACCATCATTGGTGATCTTGTGTCCTAGACTCTCTATGCTGCTTGACAGCAAGTCAATCTTATCCAGAGATAAGTAGAGCTTCTGCTCTCTAAGGATTGCAAATACAATCCTTAAATTTGCAAGGGCCTCATACAGTGTAGAGCCCACAACAAAAAGGTCATCAAGGTAGCATACTACCTTATGCATCCAATGCTCCTGTAGGATGTCCATCATCATTCATTGGAATGATGCTGGGAGATTACAATCTCCCTGTTGGCCTACTTGGCTCAAGAACATTCCAAATGGGTTCTGGAATGCAGTCTTCCAGACATCATCTGGATGCACTTGAAGCATTTCAAATGTGTTTCAAAGATCCAACTTGGATCAAAATGGGTGTTCTGAAACCCATCTACAGATCTCATCCTGGTCCGGCATTGGTGTAATATCCTTCACCATATTCAAGTTTCTCTCTCAACAGTCCATGGTTGTTCCAAGTGACCATTATGCTTTGACAGGCACAACATAGGCAATGCCTGTTGCATCTGCACTGGTATCCACCACTGAGCTGTGGTGTACCACTGAGTCTTCTTGTGGTAGCTCCTTGTGCAGTGATCTCTCTGTCTATCCACCTCCCGTCTCCTCTTTCCCCTCCTGAAATGCACGGCGATCTCAGTCTGCTTTTGCTATGCCTGGCTCCGTTTCTTGTACTAGCGAGCCCGTCAGGCAAGCTCATGTCTCGGTTCATCCCTCAACATGCTCCCGAACACTACAGCTGGCCGCTCGCACCACGCATCACGATCATCAGCATGTTCACCCCAGAAGAGGGCGCGTGGCTCGTGCCCCTCGACCTGAAGTACAATATCTCCGTTCCCGGACTATCCATGCTATATCCGCATGTCCACTGCGATGATAAAGGCTGGATCTGTCAGATGACGACAGGCGAGAGTGAGATCAACGCCCCGGCATCCACCACTGCACTCTTCTTCTCACCTTATTTCGATTTCACGAGCACGTACTTCATGATCGCTGGCATCGCGGGCGGTAATCCGTACTATACGACAACTGGGAGCGCAGCGTTCGCGCGGTACTCAGTCCAGGTGGCACTCAGCTACGAAATCGACCCGCGTGAATTGCCCAGCAACTGGACCACAGGCTATTTCGGCTTCGGCACTACCGCGCCAGATATGTACCCTGGCATGTCCAACTGGTATGGTACCGAAGTGTTCGAACTCAACACCAACTTGCTGCCGAGGGTCATGGATCTCGTCAAGGATGTCAAATTGAATGACACAGCGGACGCGGCGGCATGGCGCTCGAAGTACGACTTCGCCCCGGCTAACCTCCCCCCGACGATCGTGCAATGTGATGTCGCCACTAGTGATGTGTGGTTCTCTGGTGCCATGCTGAGCGAAGCGATGGGGAATATTACGGAGGTCTGGACGTGAGTACCATCTTTGTACTCAAGTTGCCTGGTATCAACGTCTTCTATCCCAGTAACGGTACCGGCAAGTATTGCACAACCGCTGAAGAAGATAATGCGACTCTTGAATCTGCAGTCCGAGCCCACCTTGCAGGGATGGTTGACTACAGCCGGTTCATCCTCCTCCGCACGGTATCCGACTTTGATCGCTAACCACCCAATGTAACTGCATACGACTCTCTCACTGGGCCGCAGGGAGGGTTCGAGGTGGCAATCACGAACATCTTTATGGCTGGATGGCCTGTGGTTAAGGAGATAGTGTATGATTGGGATGCGTAGAAGGATGGGACCGAGCCAAGCTTCACGAGAGGGTATGGAGATGTGCTCGGATCACTGCTTTGAGTGCATACATCGGCTTATTCTACAGGCAGCATATAGTAACCTGTATGAAATGAAGGTGAATAAGAAGATTCATCTTGATGAGGTGTTCTGGCGGTTTAAATTACTGTGATGAAGTTGTTTTGGTTGCACTTGTTTGGACAATGATGCATATGGCGAAAGACGCCGTCTTGACAGCATGGGGCGGCATCGACTACGAGGGTTCAGCCGCGAAGCACACTCATTGTCGCCAGATTATCCATCAAGACAATTCAATGCGACCTTTCACTGTGCTGTGGGCATACGTATGCAATGTATGTAACATGAATTGAGCAAGGGAAGCAAGTCAGCCTCAACGTTGACACGAATCCTACAACCAGTTACGCACCAACAGTAGTATTATCGTCGATTCCAAACAAAGCCTCCAGTCCATTCAGCCTTCCTTTCGCATGTGTGAGCCAATCTGTGCCCCCTCCCATGATGTCTTTGGAATCTGGGTCTGATGATCTCACGTAAATATTTCAGTTCAGCATGAGACTCACAGCGCCCGATATCTCTGATAATGGATAACAGATCATCCGCAGAGGTAACCTCAGAAAGTGTCTGGTATCGCTTCATGACAAACACTCTCATCTGGCGCACGTCAGGTTCGACCTTGGGTTTGGATTTGGAGCGGAGGACAAGTTCGAGGAAGTCGGGCATTTCGATAGTACTATGGGCAAAGACCTTTGGGACCATGTCCATAATGTCGGCGTGCTGTCGGAATCGAGCGATGAATTCGACCTCCGATTTCCTGGTCTTCGGGGGAAAGCAGACCATCACCACGACGTCTTCCGATGCAAATCGAGTGCGATAGGCCGTTGTGCCACGTCCCACTAAGAAGCACTGCTTGTGTATGAGAACGCTGAGCGGTAATGCGGAAGAGATCTGTGCTGGGGGATCTCGTCGAGAGTGATCGGATCGAATGCGAGAGTGGGTTGACCGTCGGCGTCGATTGTATCTTTGATAGCAGTGTTCATCCCCAGCTGTGACGGAGAGGCGGATGTGAAGAGAAGAAGGAGAAGCATGAAGTGTTCTCGTTGGCCAACTATATGATGGCTGTGGAGGCCCAAACTCTGGAACCAGTGAACAGCCAGAGACCGAGCTGTTTGTAGTTGATCAGCATACCCACGGTCCACTGTCGGAAGCATCCATCGCTCTGTCCTTTCATGGCGTAGCCGCCAAGTTGCACCTCGGAACCAGTGGGGGGGATGACACCTGGACCGTCGCTCCAAAAACGTCATTGGGGTCAGCGGGAAGATTATCATGATTGGTAGTCCTTCCTGACAGGGCAAAGGGCGAAATGGGCTGAGCGGGGGTGGTAGTGTACCCGTTTGGTGACTTCTTCCGCTTGCTGGGTAATGTTCCATCTGCGGAAGGGCTTCTTGCGCGTTTCGTGGCTGTCGCCTGGAGCTTGGATCGATCTGAGAGACTGCTTTTGGAGGGTTGGTCGGAGTTGCGCTGAGAAGTGCATGCACCTGCAGGGCGAGGGGTGCGCTTAGAAGCGGTTGCAAGGGTACGGCTGCGCTTCCGTTTTTCCCATTTCATTTCGACGAAGCCCAGGGCGCGAGCAGCGTCGAGAATCGTCTCTACTTCATTGCTCGATTTATTATGGTGTTCAAGGGAGGCGCTCGAAGAGACAACGCTGCCGGAAGTGACAGGCCCCAGTTTCTTCATGGAAACATCGTACACTGACTTTGTGACAAACACAACGTCAGACTTCTGATCCCCCATCCCATGAGCGAGTATCATATTCTTCTGTCCAATAGCCAAGAATCGATTGTCGCCCTCGATACCCAGGTGATCGATAATGGCGTTAACCAGCTCGCAGAACGGCACGTAGGCTTGTGGCTCGAGTGATTGCCTGAGATAATTCTCCTCTAGGCACTTAAGCTCTTCATCCTCCGAGAACTTCTGTGCGAGATCCCGTGCTAACTCTTGGCGCTCTAGCAGTTGCGCATCATCAAGGTCAGAGATGGATTGCAGGATGTTTTCAATGGAGCAGTTGCGATACAACGCGTGCCCTAACTCGTCGCGAACGACACCGTCCACTGTCATGTGCGTGTGTTTTGTAGTTGTTATCCCGCTAGTCGATGATCTCATAGGCGTGCTGGAGATCTGGGCAGAAGAGACAGTCGATTTGGTGACGGCAGACAGACGCGTCTCAGTGAATACCGATCTACTGCTAGTGGCGGATGCGCGACTGCTGGTGGCGACACTCGATCTCGTGGTCGATGGTGATGCCATGGCGGGGGTTATGTGTTTGAAGGTAGAGACAGTACAGCACGCAGTCGATCACCGCCTATTCGTCACTGAGAAGTCAAATGGAGAAGGAGTCGTCAAGTGTAGAACTAGCTGAGAAGAAAGGGCGTGCAAAGTAGAGTAATGACAGAGGGAGGGGATTGAGACGCGCACAAAAAGTGTAGGGTTTGAACAACCACGTGACTCAAATAAGTTGTCTGGGGGGGAGCAATTTCCTCCGGTGCCCCCTCTGCGGAGATACCCTTCCTGCAATGCCCCTCCGGGGGCAATTGCCCTAAATGCCCCTCTTCTTCACATGTGCTGCAGATTGGTTTGCGCCCTCTGTGGCAGTGATAGGAAACTCATGGGAGAACATACGGGTTCCCCGACACGAATTACGGATTACGGATTTTGCTATTACAAAATCCGTAATCTGGCACGGGCTGTGCACCATTTGATCCTGGGTCCGGGGCCTGAAATCAGGTAAGCAACATTAGGTCATGTAAGCACGTGACCTAGGCATGCTTTCTTTTCTACTCCGAGTCTTGTAGAGTATTATACATGTAGATAATAATTAATAATTATTTAATGCACACAATTGAGTCAATTATTTGAATTTAAAGGACTTGTGAGGCACTCAGGCACCAGCAACACCATAAAATTAACAGTATCTACAAGATACATAGGAGTTTTTACCGGAAAAACTCGAGAATGTTTTTTTGGGTTACACAATGCTGGAAACATGTAATGACAGGCAGGGGAGGAGTGGAGAGCAGGGGGAGGAGGAGAAGAAAAAGGAAAAAAAAACAGAGATTAATCATCCCCTCTCTAAGAGATCCACTTGGGATGCAGGGGGCAGGCTGGGGGGGACATTTGTATTTCACCTGTTCTCACTCACCCTCATTGAAATCTTGAGGACACAGTGGTTGGGATCTTCTGGGTTGGGGTGTAATTCAAACACCCCATTCATCCCCTCAATGAAATGCAGATCCACCCTACCCTTGCATTGGTGCCTGCACCTGTACTGGAAGATGCCCAGGTCGATCTTCTTGTGGAACTCCATTACCATGGAGGACAAGGGGCACTCAAGGTCCTTCAGGTTGCCTGTCAGGTTCTTGGCAGGCCCCCCCCAAGTGTACCTCCAGCCTTGGCCATCTTGCCCAAACACAAAGATATTGAGACCAAAGAGAGGGTGGGAAAGCTCTCTGGTGTAGCCCTTGAGGATTGCTTGCTCCCCAGGGATGGCATCCTGATAGAAGGCACGCAAGAACAGCCCTAGCCAGATCTCTGCCACATGCTGGAAGTTGAAGGTGTTTGCTGTGAAAGCAATCACCATGTTGAATCCAGCCCTAATTTCAGAGTTACTGGCCCCAAAGAAACAGTAAAATGAGTAAACTTACTTGCACTCACGCACAGATGGCAATGCCTGAAGCACCATGTCACTGCAGGTCAGCAGCATCAGCATTGAATCGTCACAGATGACTTTGGGGATTGTGTCTCCCCAGACAGCTGAGCAGATCTCAGTATAGAATACATGTAAATAAAATAAAGACTTGCCTCCAAGGGAGTACCATACTAGTGGTACTTGCTCCCCTTGTTGTACAGGAGCCTCCTGTCCCCCTCGTTGCAATGCACATCCACCACAGTGAGAATGTGGAATTTCTTCCCATACCTAGTCAACTTGTTAGTATTATACCAAGGTTGCAAAAAAAAAAAAACTCACTGGGCAGAGAATTGGCACATGAGCCTTGATATGACCTTGAAGCTCTCCAAGTCCACATGCCTCCTGGTATTCCTGGCCTGGTGTGCCCCAGGTTGTACAATCCTCTTGAAGGATCACATCTACACAGTGGGCATGGTGAGACTAGAGACACATCAGCATGGCATGTGGAAATAATACTAAAAAAAGGCTTACCACTTTAGGAGACATGTACATCTCCCCCAGGTATGCCTTCACAAGCCTTGAGGACAGGTCTGACATGCTGAACTTGTTGTCAGCCTCCTGCCAGTGCACCAAGACCACAATGATAGGGTTAGCATGCACTGGGCCTTGGGTCCAGTTCCTCATAGAGCCAATGTAGTTGTACTAATATTGATCAGTCTAAGTTGCTCTTAGGAGAAGAAAGTACTTACTGGTGCATGGACCATCCCTTGATCCTTACAGCACTTGATGCAGAGGATGCCCTCCATGCTGTCAACTTCTTCCTTTGTCACCTGGGCACATGCAAGCTTTGCAGGAATATTGATGCAGAAACTGCAACTGCAGTTTCTGCACTCTGCCAAAGCACTTGATTTGCAGCTGAGACAGCAGACATCACAATGCTGGGAAAAAGTCAGTGTCACCTTCAACATCAGGCAAGGGAAAACAAACTTACAGTCAACTTCTTGAACCAGGCTTGGGGGGGCCCAAGGCTTATGAGGGTGGAGAAGGCATTAGACACCCCATTGCCTATCTTCCCTTCCCTAAAGAGCATATTCTTGTTGAGCTTCATTATTTCTTTGGCCTCAGGGGGGCAGTCTACAGCTTGAACACCTGATTTCTTTGCCCAATATGTGTAGATCAGGGCAGCAGACTTTAGCCTGTTGATTATATTAGCACAGTCTACATTGAAATACACTTACTTACTTCAGCTCCTCATGGGAAACCAGCCAATACCACCCCAGTCCACTTGAGGCCTCAGGAGAACCAGCTTGCCAGGCACAAATCCAAGCTGCCAGTTCATTCTCCTCCTCATGCTCATCCTCATCATCTGGGTCTGTAGCATTGCCTTCTCCATCACCCCATACTACAGAGTAATGTAATATAGAAGACTAAAATGACAGGTTAATCTTTTACTTCTTCCCTCCCTAGAAGAATACTCACATTGGGTGTTGGTCCAGGGCACCAACAATGGCCAGTAATCCCCACCACCTCATACTGTTCCCCATCTTCCTCATAAAAATCCTCCCACTCAGGGTTCTGGGTATGGTCCCCTTTGAATCCCTGCACAAAGCAGTGGAACAAGATGGTGAGGGTATTAGGAGAATACCCAGGGACTTCACATCTGCAAGAAGTAAGTTACTTGACTCTTCACACAATAGAGAATGCTACTTATGCCTCTTGCCAGTCCTTCTCTACAATCCAAAGATTGGATGCAATGAACTGGTAAAAACAATCTTCCTTCTTCCAATCCTGTCTCACATGTCAGTTTACTCTGCACAAATTCCAGGAAGAAATACTTACATCAGCATCATCAGGGATGTTAGCCAGATCATCTGCTCCATGGCAAATATCCACCAGGACCAGATTATCATCCCAACCCTCCTGCCTGGCCATGTAGAGCTGCCAGTACTGCCCTTGAGGCTTCCACTGTCACTGCCTTCCAGCAACATTGGGGGGATGCTGATCTTGCTGCTTGTACCTTGGCCTGTTGTAGGCAAGCCACATGCAGTCTGCATCCACAGTCTTCCCAAACTCAACTGGTTCAGGAACATCCCTTTCAGTGACATTCCTGACCAAGAGCTCAGCATGGGGGTTATCTGCAGCCCTTTCAGGAGGCCCCCCCCTTCCTCTGCCACCCCCTCTGCACCTTCTGCCACCCCCTCTGCCCCCTCTGCCACCCCCTCTTCCACCACCACCACCACATCCTCCTCCTCCTCCTCCACCCCCACCTCCTCCACCAGGCCATGGATACCATGGCCTTCACCACAATTATGCATGGCCTGTCTGTCATAATTGTGGCAATGAAAATTTTAAAAGGAGGTGCAGGGCATGTCCCTCACACCTTCTTCCCTTCCCTTCTCCTCTCTCTTGCCCTCTGCCCTCCCTCCCTCACCCTCCCTCCCTTGCCCTCCCTCCCTTGCCCTTGCCCTCTTGCCCTCCCTCCTGCACCCTCTCCCTCTTGCCCTCTCCCTCTCCCTCTCCCTCTCCCCCTCCACCCTCCCTTGCCCTCCTCTCCCCCTCTCCCTCCCTCTCCCTCCCACTTGCCCTCTGTACTGCTTGCCCTCTGCCCATCTGCCCTCCTCTCCCCCTCTTGCCTCTCACACACCCTTGCTCTCACTCTCTGCCCCCTCCCTCCTCTGTGCCCTTCTCCCTCTCCCTTGCCTTGAGCTCTCCCTGCCCCATTGCCCTCTCCCTCTCCCTCCTTAGATACATGTAAATAGAAACATCATGTAGTGGTATAATTAGATAGTTAATAAAAATATTTATTACCTTGTGACACATTTGAACATTGTGAGAAAATATAATCTGTGCTGACTTAAGCATCCATGTGATAGTATGGTGGACGTTGATGGACAGCTCATTAGGGGTCCTTAGAGCAGCAATAGGGTCTGATGCTGGTGGGGACATGGGCTCAAAATAAGGATTGGAAATGCTGTGCACATTTGTCTCCCGTAAAAACACTGTATTTGCATCCACGGAAGCTAATATACATCCGCAGGAGTAAATGGAAGAAAACTAAACTTGACGGAAGAGAGTGAGAACTTCTGCGGAGGTGAATGGAGGCAAAACAAAAAGGCAGAAGCAAAAACTTTGCCTGCCTGGGAGTATTGGTCTGCTTCCACTAAATGGAAGCAAAGTATTTGCCCCCATCAAGAAGGAAACAGATACTAGACCCTGGACTCATATGTGGACCTTTTACTCTGGTCACAGCCACAAAAATAAGAAAAAATGTCAGAATTAAAACCAAATGGAGAAAAACCATGGATTTGAGCAAAATTAGATGCTGAGGACCCTTGTCCAGTAACAACCATGTCTGGTGGCCTTTTGTGGACAGCTGGGACCCCTAACACTGCGGCTGTCTGCGAATGTCCACCATACAATAGACCCTGACCTGATTTGCTCTGATAGAGCAACAGCTACATCATAATCATGAGATTGCTGGCACTCCTTGTGTTTCAGTGTGTTAGGGTCCCATGCTTCTCTTCCCCACCTAATTTTTTCTTTCTCCAAAAATGTCACTGGGTCCATTGTTGCCTAAAATGGCAGCGCATGGATGTGGACTTTGTCCTCCAGCTCTATCCAGAACAAAATCAACCCAGAATACAACCTGCTGAGTGCAATTTTTGCAAGCAATTGATACACCCACAAGTGTGCAAGAATGCCTCTGATGAAAAGCCATGGCCGGATCTTTGCTAAAGTAAGGGGAGAATGTTCTGCATAATGCCCAAACAAGCTAACATATTCTTAGTGCCCCAAGCCATATGGGTATTGCTGATCCCATGCATAGAGGTTTCAAGTGGTTGACACTCCTTCCTCTGCAAGCCATGCAAGAAGCACTGCAAAGCACCTCCTATGTACACCGCACCAATGTTCCTGTTACTCCAACTGCTACCCCCCCTCTTCCAGCAAATGCTGGTGCTGGTGCATGCCCAGAAGCTGGGTGTAAGGGAAGGAGGAAGCAAGGGTGCTACTTTGGTCACTGCAGGGCACACTGCCAGAAGCAGCGGCACATTCATGGCATTGTATGTGAAGTGCAGAAGCATCCAATCACCCAGATTCTGCCCCCCACCTTCTCTGACCCTGCAATCAGCCCCGCTTCACCTGGAATCTGTGCTGCACATCCAAGTTTCAAGCCCGACATTTGAACACCTCTTTGAATGACATCTTGAACTTGGCTGGACTGGACTATTGGAAGCCAGAAGTGGACCCTAGACATGGCATTAGGTAATGTAGATTACACATAGATTAGTAGTAGTCTGAAGGTCTGAACTGCTCTGAATATATATAAGCAGATTCAGATACTTCAGATAGGGACACTCAGACTCCTCTCTCACTTACCCACTCCTACACTCATTCAAGATGGGTGTTTCTCTAGCTTACCCTAATAACTACTGCTATACCCTACAGTCACTCTTAAGTCTTTCTCTCTCTCTAAGACAGATCCAAGCCTTGATTTGACCCCTTCAACCTTTGAATACCACTCATTCACCTCATTTGGCCGTTCCTTACTCTTTCTCTCCCATTCAGATGCCCTTTGGATTGCTGTGTCCAGCCTCGGAGCCCACACAGGACCTCCAGACTGGCATTCAAGCAGCTCTACCTTAAGAGTCAAGGATTTGATTAGACTTGATTTATCTAGTGCTACCTGCTATGAAGTATGGGCCACCACTGTTGACTCCCCCTCCAGCAGACCTTCTCCTGATGCCTCATAGAGAGGTGTAGAGTACAAATCAAGCCTGTGATCTCAGTGATCCCCACACTAAATCCATCTCAACCTACACTGGCTTACCATGGCCCAACCACACTTGGCACTTGTGTTGATAATCTAGGCTTTCTTGGGCATTCAGGAGCCACCAAGGCACCCTTGCATGCCCAATGTCAGCAAGAAGATGAGGAGGCTCGCAATGAGCATGAGATATTAGCCTGTTGCTTCTCAGTGGTTGGAATTCAACAGGTAAGCCAGTGGCTAACACTTGTAAAGTTTCTACTGACTTTGTTTACTCCAGGATGACACTACTTGATATGATGGACTGGTTGCTTCATTGAGTGCTTGGGGTTTCACCACATCCATCAACAAGTGGCCCAGCTACCTTCAGAAAATGCTGCAAATTGAGTACCCTGGTCAAGACTTTCTGGAAGTCTATCTCCCATCTACAGGGCACTGAGCCATTTATCAGCATGATGCAAGAATGAAGATCAAGAGGGAGGAAGTAATCTTTTTTTGCCATGCTGGCCTTGGGAAGACTGCCCCAGATATTGGCTGCCCTAGAAGAGCATGCACCAACTCAGCTGCCACAGGACATATGCCATGGAACCTTGTCAGCCTACTCAACCCCACAAAAATCGACTTGCTTGACACCTGCAGCAAGCCCTGCAACAGAAGTTGAGGAGTTATCTCTGGTGAAGCTACCAGCAATGGTTGGGAAGAGGAAGAAGAGAAGCAGCCAAAGTGGCAGTGAGCCAGAAGTTTTAACAAAGCAGGAATTTGACCTCAATGTGTGTCTCAAGCAGGATACCCTTCCCAGAACCACCTCAGCCACCTCAAGATCATCTCCAAAGAAGGCCCATGGACACCAAGCCAAGTGGCCTGGCTTGCAGACATTCAGGGAGATTAAGGGGCAGATTGAGGAAGTCAGGGAGAGGTTGAAGAACAGAGAATCATTCTCAGGTTTCTGTTGTAGGAGATACAGTGCCTGCAACAACCTGGTCAGATAATGCATGGTGGCTGGAGGCTGCCAATCCTACTACTCTTGCTTCATTCATGCAAAATGATTCCCAAGACTGGATTACCTTTTGTGCTGCTGCTAGGGAAGATGCAAACCTCAGGAACAATGCCAAGTAGTGCTGAGGAGCTTGATATCGATATGTTACTACCTATGACATTATGATCCTAATGCTATGCTATGCTATGCTGTTTAGTCCATTTAACAACAAAGATCTATCCATAGGGTAGGGAAGTGCATTGTTGTGTTGCAGCTCATCAACACAAAAATGGTTGTGTGCCTTGATCACCTCATCAAGGAAAAACTCATATCTCACTGGCAACATTTCTCACACTATTCCATCAAAATTCCTCAACCATGCATTGGTTTGCTCACATGCAGAGGAATTGAAAGTCCACTGGCCAGATTGTTGGTTGTAGAGCTGAGGGAAGGCCATTGGATTGCAATGGGTGGAGCAGTACTGGTCAGCAGTGGAGTGATGGTTCTTGAAATGGAAAATGTCTACCACCAGTGCAGTTTTGCTGAAATGTTCTTGAATGGGTCCTTGTCTTGAAAGATACTGGTGGAGGCGACAGTTGTTGTCATAGAACATGACATCTGGCATTGCCTGGGGTGTTGGAAAAACACCATGAATGAATTCCTGAAAAAGGTCTATAAAGGGATGTTTTAAGTAAGAAAAAAATACTCATTGCTACAGAGGACAGTGACTTGGCTCCATAGAAAGTGCCCCTGGCCACAATGACCCCACAAGGATGCACAATTGTGCATCCTTCTCCTGCCAAAGTGGGCCTTGAGCCCAGGTGCCTTCTTCCTCCCTCCATGGTGGCTGCTGGTATTGAGGACATCAGGAGTGTCCCCTTCTCAAGAATAAGACTTGGTGCATTGGTGTCAATCTCACAGCTGAAGTGCAGACTGGCCAGCAGCATAGTAATTTTCTTCCAGCAAACAATGTTCAGGATTGGAGCAGGTCTTCCTACCAGGCTCTGCTCCATTATTACAGCCTTCCACTGCACAGCTTGCCTCCCTGCCTGTGTGAAGTGGGCAATACCATGCACAGTTAGAAGAGAGGGGGATGGCACAGTTGTGGACTCCACAGCAAGGGTGCCCAATCAAAACTCCATCAGTGACAGTACAAGATAGCATGTCTGGATACTTCTGTAAGTGATGAGATCCCCTCATCAAAGAGTAAAATCACATTGCTCTCCATCATGGTCAAAGAACTTTCTGCAAAGGTTGCAAAAGTGTGACCAGTGCTCTTGCCCATTTGCTGCCATGAAGATGTTTCTCTCTATCATGGCAGCAGTGAGTCGATCACCCTGGCTGCTGGCCATGTCAGGGAGAGTGAGCTGGGTGCCTTGCTCAGAATGGTGCAGGAGGAGTGAGTAGAGGTTGAAGAGATCAGAGAGGTATTCACTACGCAGGTGAGGAACTGCATAGCTCCCAGTGTTCTGAGTCTGGTTCCTTCCCAATGAATCATGAAATACTCTTGCTGTGGTTCCTGCTGAAGCACCATGAAGGAATTAGTCTGGGAAATCTTTGCTGGATATGTACTCACTGTGATAGAACAGTATATGAGCGGAAGAGGCCACAAAGTCCCTCCTCAAACAGGAGATGCTTCTCAGATGGGAGCACAGGTGGCATCCCTCCATAGTAAATTTGACACATTCCTTTACCAGGGGCTTCTTGGCATGAGTAATTGAGGTGATATCTGGTGTTACAATGGTGACATTTGAGGGAATTGACTATGACAGGGAAGGCACCATGGCTGAGGGTGTAGAGCACAGCTGTATATCACTGTGGATCATACAGTGCTGCTGCCTCAGAGGTGTGAACAAAGTGGGGACAGTG